CGGAAGCTGGAGAGGCCGCCTCCGCTCCTGACGGCACCTCCCCTATCTGGCCCTTTCAGGGACACCCCGGATGCGGTGGAGCCGATCGCCAGCCTGCCTGGCCAAGCTCGGTAAGCGACGGCGCTTCGGCCGGGGGGGTGTCTTGGGTCGCCGGGCCTCGCGCTTCCTATGCGGGTGGGCGGCCGCCCTCCGGCAGACTGGCCGCGGAGCTTCTGGCCAGCTTCAGCCCGACTGCAAAGGCTGGGGGGCGAGGCCCGTCCCGTCCCGTCCAGCTGCCCCGGTCATCGCCCAGACTCTGTCGCCTAAGGCTCGGCTGTACTCCCTCCTGAAGAGGACTCCCGCCCCGCATGCGGCAGCCAGATGCAAAATTGAAACGTTCCTCCCGTGCTTCCTGATTTTTCTGCATTAATGTAGTGCATAGGAAGTTACTTACCCACTTCCTGGGAACACATAATGCGAGTTCTTAAGGTGACTTGAGTACTGGGTAAAGTCGGAGAGTGTCCTTGGGGGTGCCTGCTGAGAAAGGGGAATATAAGGCAGAAGGAGACAGTACTGGGATTTGGGGTCTGGAGGATGGGCAGAAGAAGGCAGGAAAGTCCTGGGTGGGAAGTAGAGGAGCGAAATGTATTTTCCTAATCTCCTCCCTTGACTTTTCCTGCTCAGAATCGCCCCATAAAGCTGCTGCTTTTGGGGGAGAAAAAAAGGAGTAACACAAAAATGCATTTAAACCCGCTATGAGCTGGTGTGAGTGCGCCCTTTTGCCTGGACCCTGTGGGTGGCCTGGGAGATAAAGGGTTTTGGAGTGGCTCTTCCCTCCTCTGGGAAAAGCTCTTCTAGTCGGCTGCCCTTTGGAGATAATGTCTCTGTGGAAACCCCAGCCTAGCCCTGGGGGAGATGGCAGGGTGTGCCTGTTACTCCCTTGGCCTGCTTGTGCAAGAAACACATGCGTGTGCCAGTATTCAGAGAGGTCTCCCATCCTCTTCCTGCTGCTGCTGCTGCTGATTAAGGCTTTCTTAAGAATTGAGGCCCTGCAGACTGCTTCTCTGCTTGTAAAATAAAGTGACCAACCACATTAGATTGCTGCAAGTAGCATTTCTGAAAGCAGCAAGAGCCATGTGAAAAGCAAAATTGGCTTGCTAAATTTTAAATTACCAGAAATCTCAAAGGAACTGGAGCGGGGTAGATTCTGCTCTGTATATCACGTTCCTTGTTTTTCTTTAATGCTGGGGAACCTATGGAGGAGAGCTGGAGAGCTGGAGTTGGCCAACGAGCCTGTAATGCTCCCCAGAGTCTTCTTGGGTCTCTGGAAGAGCAGGGATGCAGCAAAGGCACCGTGCCCCTTGCCATTCTTGTACCGGCATGTCCTACGCAATCCCAGGGCCCAACACCCCTCGGCTTGGTGGGCACTTGGGTCTTCTGGGTCTGCCTCCCCTTCTGTTACGTGCCCCTGCTCAACTCACAACTGACTCCTCCCCTCCCCCCCCAGATATGGTGTCAAGAAGCTGGAGGAGCTGCTGGCCCCGCTGGTGGGCGACGGGCTGAAGTGCGTGCTGATATTTGGCGTCCCAAGCCGGGCCACGAAGGTGCGACACCAAGCTGGGTTTCAGCCGTGGGTGGAGCCCGGGGCTGCTGAGCAGAGGGCCTCGCTTCTAAGCTCAGCCTCTGCAAGGCGGGCAGGAGGGCAGTAGCTTCTCCCTCTGCTCCGCAGGACGAGCGTGGCTCTGCAGCCGATGCCAAGGACACGCCCGTTATCCAGGCCATACAGACAATCCGCTCTTTGTTCCCCGGGCTGCTGATTGCGTGTGATGTCTGCCTGTGCCCTTACACCTCGCATGGGCACTGTGGTGAGTGCTGCTGTGCTTGAAGCCCCTAAAGCAGGTCAGAAAGCTGTGAGGGTCATGTAATGCAAATGCCCTTCTTGCCTACGAGGCCTAAGTAGGCCTAGTGGAGCCTCATTGAGGGACGGTGCACTAATGTTCTGTTCTCCCTTCGTTCTCCCATGCACAAGCTTCTAGGTTTCACCCCCAGCTATTATTACAGTCATTTTTGTTATTAGATTTTTATCCAACTGTTTGTATATATTCATTCATTCAACTCAAGGCGGCTAATGTACGTAATACTCCTGCCACCTATTTTCCCCACAACGGCAACCCGGTGGGGTGGGGTGGGCTGAGAGAGTGTGACTGGCCCAAAGTCACCCAGCCAGCTTTCATGCCTAAGGGAGGTCTAGAACTCCCAGTCTCCCAATTTCTAGGCTGGCAACTTAACCATTACACCAAACTGGCTCTCATTTTTACTGCCTTACGGACTAGAAGCTTGATTTTCAGATGCCCAATGACCTAATAACAGTCATGTGTGTTTCTGGGAGAAGTAGGCACCTTTCCCAGGAAGAAAGGGAGGAGTAGCTCTTTCTTTACCTTGCAGGCCTCCTCCGGCAAGACGGTACCCTCCAGAATGAGGTGAGCTGCCAGAGGCTCGCTGAGGTGGCCCTGGCCTACGCCAAGGCAGGTGAGACTCTCCGGCTCTTTGCCGCGCTGCACTTTTGGAGCAGCTGCTGGGAGTAAGCCGGGGTGGGCAGACCTGCACCGGTGGCTGCTTCCCTGGGGTGGGGACTGGCCTCTGCCAGCCATGAGGCCCCCATCCCCGGGAAGACCCTTGGCCTTGCTTCTCCCCAGTTGCGGGGCTGCTCCCTTGCATTGTGCAGTTGAGAGGGAGGAACCCGGCTGGAGAAGCCACCACCACCCGTTCATGCCTCCTGTCCCCTCGCTTAGGCTGCCACATCGTGGCCCCCTCAGATATGATGGACGGGCGCATCCGTGCGATCAAGGAGGCCTTGCTTGCGAATGACCTGGGCAATAAGGTGGGTGTGAGGGGCTGGGGGGCCCCGAGCAAGCGTGGCCAGGCCTCGCAGAGGGACCTGTTTCCTTTCGCAGATCCAAGCATCCAGGCGAGCCGCTGAGACATGCGGATCTTGGGTCCTGAGGTCCAGGAGCTGGGCCGTTTTCCGAGGCTCCGAGAGTCCAGCTGTCCGGGCTCTGAGCAGCTGCGGGGGAGGGGGCCGAAGAGCTCTGGGGGGGCTGAGGGAGCCGGCGGGAGCGAGTCTGGCCCGGGGTGACAGCCGCCCTGTTGTCTCTGCAGGTGTCAGTCCTGAGCTACAGCGCCAAATTTGCGTCCTGCTTCTACGGCCCTTTCAGGTGAGGGGGGCCGGGGCCGTTTCTGCCCTCCTGCTGGGCCGGGGGAGGGATCCCCGTGGCCAAAGGCGCAGCGGCCTCCCCGGCCCCGGCTCTTTCCCACAGCTGGGACGAGGGAAGGGCCGGCCGGCTGAGTTTTGAGGCTGCTGTCAAGGCCTCGGCAGGGCCCCTTTGGCGTCTGGGGGGCGAAGGGAAGACAGCTCCGTTTCCTTCTGGTTTGGGCAGAGACGCGGCCTTGTCCAAGCCCGCCTTCGGGGACCGGCGGTGTTACCAGCTTCCTCCGGGATCTCGAGGGTTGGCTCTGCGGGCAGCGGTGAGTGGCCCTGGGGGATGCCGGCTGGGCTTGTGGAGAAAACGGGCCCTGGGAGGGCTGCTTCTCACCCCCCGGATGTTCTCCACAAGCATTCCCTTCTCGGGACACGTTTAGTGGGGTCCGGCTAGACTGTCTTCTTGCCCCCCATCAGGCAGGGCTCTGTAGGCCTCTTGGCATCACGCGGAAGGGCAGTGGTGCCCTCCAACCTCGCGGCAGCGCCTGGTAATGCTCTGCCAGACCTTTCCAAATGCCAGCTTTGCCCTGGCCTCTTCTGGGAGGAAGGAGAAGCCTTGTCTTCTAACGCATTTTCTGCTCAGGGGTTCTTGTTTTATGCTTCCCTTTTCAGTTTAACTCTCCCTCTGTACGTTTTACTTTTAAAACCATTTCTAATTTATCTCTGGGATGACCTACTTTGAGAAGGCAAAACAAAAACTCCAGGGTGAGGAGCAGTCTACCGCTGTCAGTTGTGGCAGAGATGACGGCTGTCTTTGCCCCGTGCTTATGGACTCCCTGGCCCCTGAGGTGAAGGGAGGTTGGGCTGGTGGGCCCTGTTGGTGAGCTTCCATAAGAGCCTTACACAAGGCAGACTGTCTCCTGCGAGGGACTGGGTGAAGGTCTGTTTACAGATCGTGTCATGCTGAGAAAAGTAAACACCTTAGCTCACTCCTCTCGTTACTGAAACAGGCTTCCGCCTTGTCTGAGAAAGTGTTTTAAAGTGCTTTTTCTGTTGGGGAAAGAGGACATCCCCTCCCCTCCCCTCCCCAGGAAGAAGGAAATGCCACTGGACAGACCCAGTGGATGTGTTACCGATGTCCCCAGCAGCCGAGGGCAGAAAAGGAGGCAGGAGGGGGCGGACGTGCTGATGGCAAAGCCTGCGATGCCCTACCTTGACCTCGTGCGGGAAGCGAAGGACATGCAGGCCTTACGTGTGTGCGCACATGCAGCGGAGCCAGGCCAGGACTGTGGAGGTTCAGGAGCGTGCACGTTGTCTGTTCCTCCCGCCCCAGAGCAAGGGCCTCGGGTTCAGCTCCTGGCCTTCCGGCGAAGTGGCTCTGCTACACGTCCCCTCTAACCACCTCCCTCTGCTGTATTTCCCCCACTCCCAGGACCGGGATGTGCAGGAGGGGGCGGACGTGCTGATGGTAAAGCCTGGGATGCCCTACCTTGACCTCGTGCGGGAAGTGAAGGACAAAGTAAGCTGCCAGAGAGCGGGCAGTAGCTGGTGGGTACAGAGGCCCACCTCCCCCTGCTGAGAAACATGGGTGTGTGTTTCCCCAGCATCCCAGCCACCCCCTGGCTGTCTACCATGTCTCCGGAGAGTTCGCCATGCTGTGGCATGGAGCGCAGGCCGGGGCCTTTGACCTGAAGGCGGCAGTGATGGAGGCCATGGCCGGGTTCAGGAGAGCAGGTGAGCGAGCGAGGGAGGAGGAGAGGCCGGGGCTGGCCCTGCCAGTGCAGCTGGTGTTGCTCCTTGAATTCCCTTCTGAAGCGGGGGCGAAACAGTGGAGGACCGAAGGGGGACAGCTGGAGGGTCGGCCCCGTGACAGCTCCGTCCAAAGCCAGGGACGGTGAAGGTGGGAGGGGAGGAAGGGAGAGAGGAAGGTGTGGAGACCAGGAGGGCCGGAGGACACGTTGGATTCCTGGGAGATAAGGCCAATGGGCTGCCTTGCCCGGTGGGGAGTGGTCCTTCGCTGGAGGTATTCCACAGAGGCTGGGATCCTGCCCTGGTGAATCTGCTTCCAGCCTGGTTTCTTCGGTGGCTCCACAATGAGAGCTTTCATTAAGGGAAGAGTTTTGTGCCATTTCATTTTGGAAATGCTTCTCTTACAGGAGCAGATATCATCATCACCTACTACGTGCCTCAGCTGCTGCAGTGGCTGAAAGAAGAGCAGGTGTGAAGGCGGCCCCCTTTCCTTGCTGCCCAGATGGAAACGCGGAACAAGTTGGAAAAGACCGGGGGGGCTGAAGGCGGGAACCTAGGGACTCTTTTCCAGCTTTGGAAGATTTTGCTTCAAGCTTCGCACAGCACTCCCTTAAAAGCCCCTGATAAATTAAAGGAATTTGGCCACTTCAAGTGATGCTGTAACAGAATTTCCAGGCCCCTGCTGATATGCTTTCTTTTAAAAAACAAAACACAGTTCCCTTTTAAAATACTGCCAACAATGTACTGTTCCTTGCTCTGCCAGACTTTGGTCATGCTGGTTAGTTGCAGAATGTCCAGAGATGCGTATGGACCGAAAGGCAAAGCCCTTCCCTCAGGGAACAATTAGCCTGAGAACTGCCCTGTAATTGCAGAGGGCCTTGTGAGCTACCAAAAGCCCATCCTCAGCCAAAAAGAAGAAAGCCAAAACACCCTGTTTCTTTTAATTGGTAACGTCTTAAGCGGCCTGGTATCCGCCCCCAAGGGGGCTCATTTCCTAGGATGTAGGTGCCTGAGATGCAGAAATTCATCTGGATTTTTAATTTGAGGTTTGCTTTTCAACTCCACTTGAGCAGAACTGTCTTTTAAAGGAACAGTCTTGTAATGCACTTCTCTTACTGGACAGGAGTAGAAAAGGAGTTGCTCAATCCACATGGCCTGGAGAGGAAGGAAAGAGTGCTGCCTCCTCCCGTCCTCACCAAGCTTGTTTGTCGACATCCGGGACGGTTGGTTGAACTGGGCTTGGACAGGCGAGAAACGGAAGACCTCAGTGGCGTCGTACATCCCGCTAGCCTATAACGCGTGGCATTTGGCTTTGGCTTAGCGTGAGGTGCGAACCAGGCCACTGTGGCTGGTTCAGCAAACTCTGGATAATTCCAGCTGTGAACCCTGCTCTGCTCTTCTGTTCACGCAAGCTGCTGCTCTTGCCGCTGCTAGGCCATGGTTCTCCCTCAGTGCGAGGCACCTCTCCCCAGCCACATGGGCACTGGCAGCCAAGCGTCTTCCGCCATCTGGAAGGCAAGCTTGATGCTGCTGTGCCTGTTTGCCCCCTCGGCAGGTGGGTTCTTTTGCTCTGCTTTGTCCAACCAATCTTCTCCAACCTATCTATAACAATAAGTTATAATTGTCCTCCTGCCTTCTCTGTAATGCTGTGTGGAAGTTGGTGGGAAGTAAAAATCAAGTATTTACTCAGAGAAAAATACAGGCAATCCTTGCTTAATGATCATTTGTTTAGTGACCATTTGAAATTACGACAGCTGAAAAAATGGACTTACGATCCGTGCCCGAAATTACAGCTGTTGCAGTGGCCCCGCAGTCATGTGACCAAAATTTGGGCGCTTGGCAGCCCACCCGCACTTACGACTACAGGAGGCACTGCAGCTCCCCCCACCCACCTATCTTTCCCCCGATCTATGCCCTTTTGGCCACCATGCACAGTGGCACTGGGCGCCACCGCTGCCACCACCATCCCAGGTCTCTACTTCAGCCCCAGTGCCGCCGCTGAGAAATACTGCCTCAAGTCCCACACTGCAGCCAACCACTCCAGCACCATTGCGCAAAGCCCCAGTTGCCCCTGCCACCCCTGCCGTGCCCAGTTGATCTTTGCCATTTTCCTCCTGCTGCTGACCTGCCTGACCCTGCTGTACACGAGGCAGCTGCTGGCCGCACCAGGCCTTCTTCTCAAGGCCACTCGTGCCGTTCCTTCTCCAAATAGCGCACCCGTCCTTATGAGACCTGGGGAAGACCAGGAGGTTTCTGTAGGATTGCAAGAACAGGCGACTGGGAGGGCCGGGACTGCAGCGGCTAAGCTCGGCACCGGAATTCCCATCGCTAAAAGATGCAGGCACGCGATTCGCTTAATGACCGCGGTACTTAGCGAGGGAAATTCCAGTCCCAACTGTGGTGGCTAAGCGAGGGCTGCTGTAACTACTATACACGTAGGTAGCGATCCGTCGCTGGTGCAGCTGCAGGCGGCGAGGTTGCCGCTCGCTGCGCGCAGGTGCAGCACGTGGAGGTGGGAACGCCGGGCGGCTGGAGGGGTCTGAAAGGGGAGAGGAGCGGTCCTCTTCAGGGGCGGAAGCGGCGTCGGCGTCCCTGCCCGCTCCGCAGCCCCAGAGCCCGGCGGAGGGCTAAGTCCGCGGCAGGCCCG